TGGGTGACCCACAGAGGTCCCTGCCAACCCCCACCATTCTGTCATTCTGTGTGATTCTCTGATTCCTTGGTGTCGGTGTGATGTTCCCCACAGAAGCTGCTGCAGAAGCCCAAGACTGTTCTGGGGAACGGGGGGTTGTTTTTAAGACTCAGACTGAGCCCTGTTTAGAGCGGCTTGGAGAGGTCTGGGCGGCACGCAGCCAGCCCAGTGGGCTGTGTGGGGGCCCCAAGCAGGCGAGGGGAGTTTGTTTAACAGCACGTCAGGAAATCCCCCTCTCCCTGCAGGCAGGAGGTTGGACCAACGGTGTTAGATCCCCCTGCAACGTGGAGCTGAAGAGCAGAAGAATCTGTAAATGGACTTGCTGGAGCAAGGGAAGGCTGGGATCCCGCGATGGTGAGTGTGACACGGTACTACGTCAGGCCTGTGAAATCCCAGTTTGAAGCTCTGGCACCTCCATTTGAAGGCAGCAGTGATCCCGAGGGCTGGAGGGTTCGGCCTAGCTGGTGGTCAGGAGGGGCTGCGCTCGCTGGTGTCTCAGAAGCTGTACATGTGTCTGCAGTACCCCTGTGTTTCACGTGCCGTTTCCCAAACAGCGTGGGCAGGAGGAGGGCTTTGCTGTTGCTTATGGGATTGTCTGGAGAAACTGTCCTCTGGCTTTACCATTTTGAGAAAGTCCAGGTCAGACTTGCTTTGTTTTCTAATGAGGGAATCTGTCTTTCTTTGTAGGCTACAAAACCCAGGAGAAGTTTAAGAGGTACGTACACACACTCGTCTGCTTTCCTTTCACTTTCCATAGGTGCTTTGATTTGCTGGAATGCGTGGGACGGAGGAGAGGGGCTGTTGGGATCAGGGGGCAGTCCTGGCTACTGAAGTGTTCATGATCCTTACCTGAAAGGTGCATTTGAGTGCATGGTGTCATTCCCGAACCAGAGATATTCTCCTGCCCCTCACATCAAATGGATTTGCTTACTGGGGTTTTATATTGCTTTCTTGTGGGCTTTCCCAAATCTAAGCAAGAATGTATGCATTTATTTCAGTTCTTCCCCTCAGCTACTCCTTAACTGCTTGTTTGGAGGCCTCCTGCAGCCCCTGATACTGAAGCAGTGCTTTTGGGGTTGCCCAGGGGCTCTGAGACGTTGTGGGGTGAGAGCTCACAGATGAAGTGCTGCTTGCGGCCAGGGACTAACTGAATGGAAAGTGCCTGGCTCACTTGATAGGGAAATCCTGTTTCTGGCTAAGCAAAGCCAAATCTTTTACCCACAAAATACTGGATCAAGTTCTGTCCCTGGCAGCTCTCTCTAGACCGGCAAGGAGGGTCTTACGCTGCTGGTGCTTGAGACCAAACTATTATTCTTGTGGCATTTCAAAAGAGCAAGCCATATTGAAATTGGGAGCTTTTCTGCACCTGCCTGGGGAGCTCACCTGCCTCAATACCTTTACTTTATCTCTTCAGACTCTGTCGATGATGTGCTTGGTGACCTCCTGGGATATGATGGTAAAATGAACCTTCTTTGCAGCTGGAAGGGCAGCATCCTTATACTCTTACTCTGCTCCTGGGAGCAGGAGGTGCTGGTGCAACAGCCATGGATCTCTGAGGGGGCTCCAGTTGTGAGGGGGGATGAAGCAGGGAGCAGAGGGCAGAGCAGGCTTTCCTCAGTCAGAGGCCACTGAATAGGATGGACATGGGCTTGGGGAAGCAAAGTATAGTTCACCTCTGATTAAAAGCCTCTTTGACCAATGAGGAGACAGCAAATCCTCCTTTGGAGTGCCTAGGCCAGGAATATGCCGTGTCCATCATCCTAATCTCTCCCTGTCTTGTGTCCAGATGAAACCGCTGTTAAATCTGCCAGAGCTTCCCTGCCGGCCACGGGCAGCAGTAGGAGAGCCCAGGGCACCAGCTCGCAGGCCAGCAAGAAGTGAGTGCCTTGCAGATACAGCCTCTCGCACTCGGAGATCTCTCTGTGCTCCCCAGGTCCTTCTGATCTGCCCCGTCCTTGGCTTCTCCGCCTCAGTCCCTGCCCCAGTAGTGATTGCCTGGGAAGTGCCTTTGGGAACTGGGGACTGAAGCTTTCCAGCAAGAGCTGGGTGCCCCTAGCCCTGTAAATCTCCCTTACAACAGTTGCTTGCTTAAATACAGCAGTCCTAGCACTACTGTCTTTTATCCCAGTGCTATTTTAGCCTTATTTTCTGTTGCACGATATGGCTGCCACGGTGTGCCTGTGTGCTCTCCTCCTCCTCCCACTGCTGCGTCTCACTCCACCCTTGCCAAGCTCATGTGTGGTGCTGCTAACCCCCGGGCCTGTGTCACAGGTCCTTTCTGGAGGATGACTTCTTCAGCAAACTCCCTGCGGAGGACGTTGAAGCTGCAGAGGTGAGCCCACATTTCAGGGCGGAGCTTGGGTGTTCTGAGGGCTGGGGCTGAGCTGAGCCCCCGGTGTCATCCCATGCGAGTCAGCTCGGGGCTGTCAGGGGTGAACCGTGAAGTCTGGCTGAAGAGGTAGACCCTCTCCAGCATCGCTGTGGGGTGGGGAAGACGGGACAGGGGAGTGGGTGGATGCTGGGAGAAGGGCTTCCACGTGCCCTGGATGAGATGGAGCAGGGCCAGGGGAGATGTACTACTGCAGCCCAGCCTTCCTGGGTGCGCTTCAAGTATAGTGTCATAGGAAGGACCTTAACACAAAGCAATGGCTTTGGGTGTTCTTGACACTTCTTCCCAGGGGCAGCAGGATCTCAGTAAAGGGTTTGACGCCCAGGGGGTTTCCAGGGAGGAGGACAGCAGGAGGAGTTGGGCATGTATTCTTCTATCCCATAAAATCAGGAAAACCAGGGGCTGGAGCGTGGGAGGAAGGGGTGAGGAGTTTCCGAAGTCTGTTCATCTGTCTGATCTCTGCTCTGCTTGGCATGCAGGGATCCAGTGCCTCTGATGGAGACCCGCAAGCTCTGCTGCAGACCCTGAAGGTAAGTGTGTAAACACCCTCCGTCTCAGCCCCACACGCGCTGCAGCCATGGCCTCCAGCACCAGCCTCCAAAGGGAGAAGTGGCGCTGGGGCGTTAGCAGTGCTCACCCTGCACCCATCCTCATCCTCTTGCTTTCCAGGACATGGATGACATGGAGGCTGATCTCCTGGGAATACCGAAACCCAGTTCTGGGCCAGGGAAGACAACTGTGAAAGGTCCTGGGAAATGTGACTCCTTGGGAGGAGCAGTAAAAACTGCAGGGAAGCTGCTAGCTCCTGAGAAGGGTAAAAAGGAGATTCTGCTCTTCTTTTCATATTATTGCAAACGAGTAGGGGGTATTTTCATCCAGGATAGGGAAGAGAATTGGATTTGTTCCCTAAAATCCTGTTCCTTTTGGTGCTGTCACAGACACAGGGTGTTATTCTAACCTTGTGTTGTCCCTTGGGACATCCCTGGCCCGACCTCTTGTCGTGCTGTGATAATATCACTAACATCAGCAGCCACAACAGCCACGCTGCCGCCTCCCACCAAACACTGCTTGGCCGTTCTCTGATGCAGGGCAACATGTTTCTAGTGGGATCTGCCTGATCTGCGGGGAAGGAGAGCCAGAGGGCTTGCATTTAGGATATGCCAGTCCCCAAAGTGCCCTGCTTTTCCCCAGGCCCTTGTCTCCTCTGCTTGCAAGGAGGCTTCTCCAGAGAGGTTCCCACCTAGTGCGGCTGCAGGGTGGCTTTGTGTCACAACATGTGCTTGTAGGGCGCTGACATTAGGAGAGTGATCTTCCTCCAGGGTGAGAGAGGGGCACCTCTGCAGCACCTTGTCTCTGAAAGCTGTGGCCTCTCCTTCCAGGAGAGTCTGTACCTGCGATGGAAAAGAAGGCACTTTCTTCCCCCCGTGCTCCCCGACAGTACAAGAAATTTAACTTTGAAGGTAGGATCTTGCTTCACTTCAGCACGTAGATCCGTGGTGGCAGCTGAGGACTCTGTCCTTGCTCTTTGCCCGTGCTTGCCTCTGCTGTTAACCAAAGGCTTGGCTGGTTAATGAGATACAGAGTCCTTCACCCCTACGGTGCCAGTGCAAATCTAATCCCTTAGAGGTGACCAAAGGAAAAAAAAAACAGCTCAGTGTTTGAGGCCCTCCCCTAGACGGGGCTGGGAGACGATTCCTGAGGGCATTTGCATTTTCACGTGTGCTTTGTTTTTTAATGACTGACTGTAACACTTGAGAGCCCTTGGGGGGAGGGGGGGGGAGGAATCTGTCCACCTTCCAAAATGGAGGCTTCTTTCCTGGCACAGCTGAGGCCTCATTGTCAAAGCCTGTCCTTTAACCATTAAGATCACTAATGGGCTTTAGGTGGGCTTTCTTCTCCCCTTTTTCAGTGCCTAAACAGTGTTCAAGCAGTAAAGCACACAGATTTTGAGTTTTCTTCTAGGAGAAAGAAAATCTGGAAAAAAACCAAACAGAAATGTAACTATTGAGTGTTTGAAGTTCACGGAGGTCCTGGGGTGTCCCAGGTCCCTGCAGCACCTGTGTTCCTGGCTTAGGGTGGATGTGGCCTCCTGTCTCCACCTGCACACAGTGGGAAGTAGTGCTTGGCTTAGCACGGAACTGTTCTCTAAATACTGTTGGATTTGTTGTTTTGTTTTGTTTTGTTTTTAATTATTATTCTCCTTTCCTGCCCCTACGGGGTAATTCCCAGATTTAGATGATCCTTTAGCAGGGCTTTTATCTGATGAGGAGCAGGATGCTCCCAAGAAGCCAGCTCCAGCAGGCACTAAAAGCAGCTCTGAGAAAAAAGCAGAATGGAGCAAAGAGAAAGGTAAGCAGGGCTGCTCGATGCATCCTCTTTGTATTAAATGAATCGGCAGCCTGGATTCGTTTGTGTGAGGTCCAAACTGATTAAAATGAAAGCTACCTCATACCATCTCTTATTAACCAGTATGGTCATTTATAAAGCAACTTGGTAATGCGGTTAATTGTGACACAGATCATTGAGTGCTTGATATTTCCAGTGTGCCACAGGTTGCAGAACTGACCTTTCCTTTCTGGGAATGGAGGCTCAGATCTCACTTTTGATCTCATCCAGCCTGTTCTGCACGTTGCCACATGAGAAGAAGCTTTCTGGGTCAGGGTTGGGGTGGCTCGAGAGCGTCACTGGTCCACGCCGTAAGCCCAGTTGGGGCACCTCTGGGTTGCATCCATCTGCACTGTGGCCGTGTTACAGGCACCCATCCCTCTTGTTCCTGCAGCAGGGATGCTAATGGGGCTGATAGTCCCCTGAAATCATCTTTCATCCCCATAAATCCACTCTGGACACAAGTGGCAGCTGGTGGGCTAGGGCAAGGACTAAGGTGCAGTGGTGGAGCAGGGACTTTTCGGGGAAGGAGGGCAGGAATTATTGGGTTGGAAGCTTGCAAAGCTAAAAAAGCTCCTGGTGTTAGGCAGAGCTGGAAACCCCGGTGTTGGTGACACCCAGCAATGTCCCGTCAGTGGATGCATGGCCACAGACCAGGCAGTAGTGCATTGCCACTTTGTCACTTGCTGTGGGATTTGGTCACTGAAAAGAGCTGTTTAAAAGTGGCATTGTAAATGGTCCTGAGGAAAGAAGTGCAGGCAGGGCTGCTGTAATCTCTTGTTGTTTAAAAAGAAAAAAAAAAAGCCCTGATCAAACCTCCTACTGTGTGTGATCCCATCCACAGAGCCACCCCCACCCCAGACGCCCCTGCACACCGTGGCCCCGCTCCGAAGGAGGGAGGAGCTCAGGTTTGAAGACGATGGTGATGACCTGATGGATGCACTGGGATTTGGTGATGACCCGAAAGGAGATGAGAAGCCAGGAAAGAAGGCAGAAGAGTAAGGGCAATGAAGAGGCAGTGGGAGTAAAGCAGGGGATGGTTTTTGCATTGAGATGGTGCCACCATGGTGGGAGGAGGATGGTGGAGCTTTTGCAGTGGGTCCCAGAAAGGGGCAAGAGCAGCCTCATTTCACAGAGAAGAGCCAGAGCACCCAGACAAGGCTGTGTGACGAGGAACAGCCCTGCCTCTTGGAGAAACCCATCTGCCAATATGTCCCCAACAGAGAGGAGCTCCGGCCAGCCCGCTCCAAGCTTGACGAGTTGCTGGGACGAGGCTCTGTAATGAAATCCCTGGAACAGCCAGGAGTGGGAGAGCGCACAGAGTTCAAACTGGATAAGAAGCACCAGAAACAACCAGGTGAGTACAGTGGGGGACGCTGGGATGGTCTGCAGAGGTGACAGCATTGGCTTGGGAGAGTGAGGTTGGTGTCTAATGCCCTGACAGGGAAAATACTCTTTCTGTAGGGTTGCTTGTGGGCTCTCGGTCAGCACAGGGGGTAAGGTGGCTAATGCAAAAGTGGTGTACTCTGCCCTCTGCCCAGCCAGGGAGCATTTGCACAGTAGCTGTAACTCAGTTGCCTTTGGATGTGAGCTGATTCCCAACAAAAATGCTTTTCCCAGCCACACTGAGGAGGCACGTTGGTCGTGGGTTTCCAGGGAAGATGTTTCCAGCTGTGTTTTCCCAGAGGCAATGATCCCAGTGGGAAGTGCAGGGGAGGAGGAGGGCTGGTGTCTGCAGCTGGCTGCTTCTCTGGCCTCTAACTCAAGGCTGCTGGTCTCAACAGAGAAGGAAGAGAGTCGGGATGAGGAGGATTTTGTGTTTGGAGCGTACCAGCCCACAGTGGCCTCCACGCCCGAGGGCCGGCCGTCGAGAAGGCAGTCGGTGAGGTATGGTGCTCTGTGTGCGTCTGTTGCTCCAGGCAGGGTCCCCTTTTAGGCAGGGTCCCTGCAGACCCCTCGCAGGCAGGGTCTCCTCGCAGGCAGGGTCCCCAGAGACCTCTTGCAGGCAGGTATGTGACTGCTTCTCCTTACCGCAGGTTTTCAGCCGAGAACAGCAATGAACCAAAACCAGACCCACGCTCCAAACCTCTTCCTCCAGCCAACCAGAGCCTCGTGCGGGGCAGCAGGGCTGGAGGTGACTGGCTGGGTTTGAAAGATAAGGATTAGGGTCTCCTCGCAGGCAGGGTCCCCAGAGACCTCTTGCAGGCAGGTATGTGACTGCTTCTCCTTACCGCAGGTTTTCAGCCGAGAACAGCAATGAACCAAAACCAGACCCACGCTCCAAACCTCTTCCTCCAGCCAACCAGAGCCTCGTGCGGGGCAGCAGGGCTGGAGGTGACTGGCTGGGTTTGAAAGATAAGGATTTTATGGACTCAACCCGGTCCAGTGGAGGAGGAGGAGAACTGGCTGAGCGCTGCCTTGTCTCGCAAGAAAGCCCAAGCACAGGCAAAGGCCCACGAGAGAAGTGCCAAGCCCTCAGAGGCCCCACGTGAAGGGCTGGATCCCTGCTCTCCCGTCAGGTAAAGGCATGGCTGATGGCCACAGCACTCCTGTCTGCTCCACGTGTAGCTGCTCCAGCAGGACCTCTCAGAAACCCTCAGCTCAGGTTTAAGGAATTAATTTTAAGCACTCTCTTGTCTCAGGTTAGGGTAATAACATGTTTTTTTGTCTCACTGATCCAGCCCACAGTCCCATCACACCTCTGGGTTCTCCTTCCAGTTGCGGCCAAGATGGCACACACTGCCCAGGGTCCCACATGGCTGTTGTGGATCAGCACGTCCCCGGGGGCTCCCCACATGCTCCTAGGTCCTGCCTTCGTTCTCCTTCACTCCTCTTAGTCCCAGGCAAACTATCTCCTCCAGTTTAGGTTTACACAGGCACAGGTTCAAACTTGTGCCATTCGAATGGGCCTCAGGAGCGAGCTGCAGACAAACAACCATGTGTCGTGGGCAGGGGTGTGATAGCTGGGGCTGCTGCTGACCAGGGGGAGGGGGTGGATGCAGCAAGGAGGAACACCAGTGACAGAGGTTTTGGGGTGTCTTTGCTCCCTCTGTAGCCAAAAGGCTGAATCCTGCCACAGCTGAGCAGGACAGAGGCTTTCACCTGCGAGGCAGTAACTGGCGTTGGGGGAAAGGATCTTGTCTGTTGTCACCTCTTGGCTCTTGCACATAGGATGCTTTTTGCTTGCAGCCAGCCAGCCGCCTCCACAGGGACACCGCAGCAGGCAGCTGCCCTGCAGGACAAGGCAGCGAGCGCGGATGGCTCCAGGTAAGGCCTCGTTTGCCTTTCAGTCATCCTCCGTGGGTGAGATTTCCTGCAGAAGGCAGCTGCGTGGGTGAGAGTGGGGAGAGCTGGTAGCCAGCAGTGATCGCTTTGCTCTGGGACCTCTGTAACTGGGAGGGAAGGCAGCCCTGAAGGGTCATCAGGCTCTGGCCTGTTTGCTCACAGTGGAACAGCCAAACTTTAAAGAATTGCCAAGCAGGGTAAGTCTGTGTGCCTTTCCTGGAGCTGTGATGCTGCTGTTGTATCACTCGTCTCTCTGTGCCCACGCAGGCAGCCGGTCCCCTGGCTCAGCACCGCGAAACAAGGCTCAGCTCACCCGTCGGAGGCTGCCAAGGGCGATTCCTCCAGAGATGCCAGCGCCCTGGGTGTGTTTTTTGTGGTTGTATGATTTGGGTGGTGGTATGCAGGGAGGGTCCCTCTGTCCTTAGAAAAAGGCAGGAGCCACAGCATCACCCTTGGCTGTGTGAATGCTGCCCAGGCTTTGACTGGCCATTGTTGGAGCAAGCTGCAGGATCCCACCATCCCCATCTCATGGCGCGGTGGGGACAGCGTGCTGGGGCGCACTGAGCTCCGCAGTGCTGCCTTTGGGGTTTCAGAGGGCTGCAAGGGACTTGGTCTCTCTGAGCAATGGGTGGGTGTCTTGCTGTCCCTGCTCTCTCCCTTCCTGTTGCACCCACACTCGTCCCACTCGTGCTGTGTGCTAGAAGACCCCATCCTGCCCTGGGCTGAGGCTGTGCACCGGCTCAGAGGCCATTGAAAGCATTTTGGGGGACCCAGCTGCCTCCCTAGGTGATGGGGATGGAGGAGGAGCCGTGCTTTGTCCCCAGGATTGCTTTGCAGAGCAGACTCCCACCATTGTGCATGGGGTGGGGTCAGGGTGCAGGTACGGGCACAGAACAGGACCCTTCTCACTCTGGCCAGGAGACCCAGGCCCTTGTCCTTCTGGGAGGGAATGGTTCCCAGTGCCGTGTCTGAATCATGGATTTGTTCAATTTTCAGTCCCCACGGCCTCATTCCCAGGAGAGCAGGAGACGCAGGGCCCTGCCCCGCTCGCTCAGGTAGGTCTGCTGCTCCCACGTCCCCAGGAGATGCGAGGTCGGGGTGGTGATTACCAGCCCTCCCGTGTCGACTTGCTGGCATAAGCTCTGTCCGTGCTCCCTCGGCAGGAGGGAGGATGGGCCCCACTTTGCGTCCCTGGGAGCCCATGTTCATGGAGAGTCCCGAGATGCCACAAGTTGTGTTTATCAGGCCAAAGCAGGTGTGGTACGGATGCTTTGTAAATTGTGCGTGTTTACAACCCTGCATTGCCTGAGCAGCGTTTACACAGTACCCCAGGCATATATATATTATATTAATTAGACAACAGAGGCTCCAGTTGATAAAGGACTTTTTCTTCAGCTGGTTTTCCCCAGTACGGTGGTGAAGATGCTCTGAAATTGTTTCTAGACAACTGAAGGGGAATCCGAGCCTCTGACAGAGGGGCAGCTCTTGCTTAGTCTTTGAAGCCTCCATTTCTCATGTAGCTGGGCCTCCTCGCCCTGCCGTTGTGGCAGGGCACACGCTGTCCCCCAGAGGACTCACCATCTTATCCTTGAGTGTGTCCTCAGAGTAGGAAGAGCTCAGTGTGCTTGTGTCTGGGGTGGGGGCTGCTGAGTATCACCTGGTGAGAAAGAAGCTAGGCCAGCTACAGGGTTGGGCTGGAGAAGGGCAGAGGAGGGACCGCGAGAGGGTGGGCATGGACTGCTGTTCCCAGGCTAGAAGATGTTCTCACCAGGGCTTTCCCTCCCTGAGAATGTCCCTGTGTCTCCACAGGTTGCCACACCCGGAGTACATCTCCAGGCTGCCTCACAGCTGCAGGTGAGCCGTGTGCCTGCCTTTGGGGGCTGATGGCCGCACCACAAAGCCACTGATCCTGAGGGGCCTCAATCTTCTCTGTTCATCTCCGTAGGCAGAGTCCCCAGCCCTAGCTTTGCTGCATGACAGGAGGCTGGGGGCTCCCGCAGCCCCACTCTATGAGGATGTGACAGGCTGTCGGGCAGCACTGCTCAGTGCCCAGGCCCGTGTGGCAGAGCTGGAGAGCCAGGTGAGCCCCATTACCTGCTGGGTGGAGGACCACGGGTAACGCAGGGGGAGGAGGAGGGGCCATGTCTGCTCCAAATAGCATAAGGGTGACAGGGGAGAGAGGAGAAACCTCCTTGTCCAGAGATGTCTGCTGCTACCAAGTGCTGCTGTGGGAGCTCTGGCCTCGGGGCAGCACAAGGACCTTCTCTCCGGGTGCCTGGCAGGTCCGGACGCTGGAGCTGGAGCGGACGCAGCACAAACGGCTGCTGGAGAGTCTCCAGCAGCAGCACCAGGAGGACCTGGCTCTCCTTGAGACCGCCCACAGGTACCAGGCTCTCGCATGTTCTCCCCTCCAGTGTCACGTCCTTGCCTACAGCCCTGTCCATCGCCCCTGGGGTGGGATTCTGGGGTGCTTCCTAAATCCATCCCTGGGCCGGGCAGGCACAGAGCCTTGTTGATGTGGACCTGGTGGGGACAGAGAGGAGCCTACGGGTGAGCCAAGGTGAGGGTCCACTCTCCCCAACGCCATCCCACAGGTGACAAGGAGGAGGGGTCAGTCCCCTTGCCAGCGTGACCCCAGCCAGGGCACCATGCCGGGCAGTGGCAGGAGGGTTCATGGCTCAGACTCCACAGAGCAAAGCACCCCGTGCCTCTGTTTCCCCACGCACACAGCGACACCGATCTGCTCCTAAATCCCTGTGTGCACTGTGGGTGGAGAGTGTTGGGTATTGCCATGAAAGCAATGTTTCTTCCTTACTGTGACCTCTCCGGGCAGGAGCCGGGTGAGGGTGGTGGAGGAGACCTACGGGCAGCGGGAGGAGCGGCTGCGGCGGGAGACGGAGCAGCTGGCAGCTCAGCTGCTGTCGCAGAGCCAGGACGCGGAGCAGGCGCGGGCAGAGCTGCGGGCACAGCACCAGCAGCACCTGGCCGCGCTGGAGCAGCAGAACGCTGGAGCGGCTGCGAGAGCTGCAGAGGTGAGAGCGGCACGAGCGGCACACGTGGGGCGAGTTCCCCTATTTTGGCAAAGGAACCAGGGAATGAGGACACAGCGAAAGGAGGAGTCGGACTCCAGAAGCACTGGGTTGTGGGCAGCTCAGTGGCTTTTGGAATAGGGATTCGGTTTGTAGGTGGACACACGACATCTGGCTGGAGACATCGTTTCAGAGTGAACGCTTTGTGTTTTGAAAGATGCTGAACCCAGTGTTTTATCTCCCCCAGATCCCTTTTATTCAGGTCAGTGAGTCACTGATGTCCACCTAGTTTGGGTCAATAAGAAATCAGTTGTGGCTAGAGAAGCCTGTAACCCCCAAATGGGGTCCATCCCAAACGTGGATGCCTGTCAGTGGGATGCCCTGTGACGGACCACCATGCTAGCTCAGCTCCTGGGACGTGTTTCTCAGCCCCACGACCAAGCCTCTTCTACAGTGCCCGTTGAGGGGAGCACCAGTTTGTAACAGTGGTTGGGGGCCTCCTTCCCCCGTGTCCCACAGGGCGTCTGTCCAGGAGATGCGCAAAGACCACGAAGAGCAGCTCCAGCGGCTGAAGCGGCTGAAAGACCAGGAGATTGATGCAGTGACCAGCGCCACGTCACACACCAGGTACTAACAGCCAGTATCGTATCTCCACATTGGTCCCTGGCCATGGTGTTCCCTGTCTGATGGGGAACCAGCCTCGGACCACAGGAGGAACAGGGGCCATCACCTCTCCCACCCGCTGCCTCCAGGGAGGCTGAGCTGTTTAATATCTGTCAGCACTCCCCTAAGCAGCAACTACACCTTCCTACTGCTCTGCCGTGACCCAGAGAGGTTCGGGGCAGGGCTGCCTGGCCTTCAGCCCACCACACATCCTCCTCTCCATCGCCGTGACATGAACCACAGGGGTGGTCCTCCCCTCGCTCCTCTTCACAGGTCTCTGAATGGCATCATCGAGCAGATGGAGAAGTTCTCCAGCGACCTGCACGACCTCTCGCACAAGGTAGAAGCCAGGCACCACACTACCTCCCAGGAGCTGGCCATGGGCGCACGGCAGCAGGACAAGCAGCTCAAGGGTATGTCTGCCATTCCTCTGCACCGAAACGGCTGCGGGGTCCCCGCCGGGGCTGGGGACACCCAGGAAACAGAAAGCTGGGCTCCGAGTCAGCCAGAGGCTGGGGGCCCAGGCTGGCAAAGCCCTGCCTGCCTTGGTCACTGGACATCTCGGGGTCTCTCTCTTACAAATTGACGCCCTGGGGATGTGCAGAAGGTGATGAGCACAAACACATGCAGCTATTCCTGAATATGGTGTGGACAGAGGGGATTTCCCACCTCATGGTGCTGATGGCCCTGCTGCTGCCTCTCCCCAGTGCTCCAGGACAGGCTGTCGCAGCAGCAGAGGGACATGGAGGAGGAGCGGAGTCGACTCCAGGAGGTGATTGCCAAAATGGAGGCCAGGCTGTGCGAGCAGACTCGGCTGCTGGAGCAGGTGAGACCGCTGTGTGTCCTCTGCCCGGGTCAGCCCTCCTGCCTGGGTGTGGGGCGTGTGACTTGCCCACTGGAGGTCCATGGCCTGGAGCCTGTGGATACCGTCTGTCTCCCCTCTGTGTCTGGACCCAGGAGCGATGGAGGGCAACAGCAGAGCAGTCTAAAGTGGAATCACTGCAGCACTCGCTGGAGGAGCAGCGGCGAGTCATGACCCAGCAGCTCTCCATGGAGCGAGCAGAGCTGGAGAGGGCGAAGGTGAGGTGGGGCAGACATCTCCAGGTGCTTTTCGCGTGTCCTGTGAGTCTGACCGGGGTTGCACTGCGGTGTGTGGTAGAGGAAGGAGCTGGGTGCTGGGCTGCAGCATCCTTCCTCTGCCACCTCAATGCCCTGCACGCTTGCATGGTGAATCGCAGTCAGACCAGCCCTCTGGCACATGGATGCGAGAAGCTGCCGTGTGCGTGCATGATGCACGCTGGTTCCCCGAGGAGCGTGGGGTCAGAGCTTTCCATGCAGGATTCCCACCACCTGCCACGGGCTTGAACCAGCCACTAGATTTTGCGTTGGGTTTAGTGGCAGAGATGGGTTAAAGGAGACAAATCCTACGGCGAATGAGACTTAGCGGTTTCTCTCTCCCTCTCTTGCAATGCTCTCCAGAGCGCTTTGCTGGAGGAGCAGAAGTCGGTGATGCGGAAGTGCTCAGAGGAGCGGCAGAAGCTGGCGGCCGAGTGGGCTGAATTTCACACCCAGCAGCAGCTGAGCAAAGAGCGGATGGAGCGTGACATGGACCGAGCCCTGCAGATGGACTCCAAGAGGGAGGGCACCATCATGAGCCTGGCCAAGGTAGGGGAGCGGAGCCCCTTCCCGTGGCCTCCAGCGCTGCCTGGCAGGCTCACAGATGGGTCCTGCCCTCAGGGGAGATGTTCAGAGCTGCCTGAAGTGTTTGAGAGAGAGATGTCACTTGGTGTGGCGAGAATCAGGCTGTTCCAGCAACAGCCTCCACCAGCCTGTTGCAGATGTTGACTGAAGCATCAGTCCACTCTGCCTCTCCCCTTGGCCTGTGAGGAGTTTGGGCAGCCAGACCAGGCGCAGCCACCTCTGTTACAAGTCCAGTGAGAGGAAACCCCTGTGGTGGGTTAGGCAAACCTCCCCGTTCCTGGGGATGTGTCTGGAGCCAGTTCTGCTCCCCCTGGGGCTGTCCAGAGGGGATATCTGGCACAGACAGGGCAGCAGAGCTGCATTTTTAAGGGCTACCAGGGTGGAAGATAACCATTCAGGCTGGGTATTTCCACTGGTGAGAACGTGCTGTGCCTTGAGCATATTTTAGGCTGAGGTGTCTGTACAATCCCAGCTCTGCTCTCCAAGGGTGGGTGGATGAGGGCACTGCTTGAGTACCTGGTGGTGTTGCTCTGCACCCCAAACGGGAACACAGGAGGAGCTCAGCGGAGGCAGATCTCTCCCATCTCTTGGGAAGACATGAGGTGGTGTCCAGGACAGGGCAGGTAACACATTGGTTTTCCCTGTGCCCATCCTAGGAGCAGGCAGAGCTGAAGATCTGGGACCGTGAGCTGAAAGCCAAGGAGGAGCAGCTGGCAAGGGACAGGGAGCTGCTGGACAAGGCCTGGCAGGAGCTGAGGATGGAGAAGGCGGTGAACAGGGCTGCACTGCGCGTCCAGCAGCGGGAGGAGGAGATTAAAAGCTTGACCAAGGTAGGCAGAGCATCTGCGCTGCAATCACACGGGCAGGCAGCAAAGCTGGGGTTTCACGCCCCTCCCGAAGTCTTGCATCCTCACCCTGTCCCGGGAGGGGAATAAGGGGATGCACGAAGGAGCCCTGCCGCAGGGCAGCAAGGGTCCCTGTCCCCAGCCTCCCCGGCCGCTCTGCCTTGCAGCTCTCGTCCCAGAAGTACGAGGAAGGGGACCGAGCCCTGCAGGAGGCGTGCCGGGTGGAGTCTGAGCACCAGACCAGGCTGCAGGTCCTGCAGCAGCACCTGGAGCAGCTGAAGCAGCAGGAACAGCGTCTGCACCAGGCAAATACCCCCTCGTCTTCCCTTCTCGGTCTGCAGCTGCCGTGCCAAGGACTTTGAACATTTGCCGACAGCTTCTCTCTCTCTCTTTTTCCTGGGGACGGGGCAGGAGTGGCTGAGCATGGCTCACCAGAGGAGACAGCTCCAACAGCTACGTGAGGAGCTGCCCAGCAACCCCGTGATGCTGCTGACCGCAGACCAGGACCTCCGTGCCCCTACGAAAGGCCTCTCCAGTGCGCTGTGTAAGGCTTCCTGCGTGCTGCGGGTGGGAAGGGACATGCTGAGGGGCAGCTGCGCTTGTATTCCACTTCTCAGGAGGTTTGGGATGTTGCTGGCAGCTGTTATAGTTCCCCTGTACATAAACCTCTGATGTGAGTTGGTGTTGGCCTCCTCATCCTCTGAAGGAGCTCAGCGAAGCGCTCTGAGCCAGGGCAGTGCCAGGAGAGGGCAGAGGGCGCAGGAAGGGAGAGGTGGGTGGGTTAAAGCCCATTTGCACCAGGAGGCTGGGGAGGGCCCTGCTGCAGGGACAGGGAGGCAGCAGAAAACGGGATGCTCTGTTGTCTCCGTCTGGACTTCTCTGGTGGTGGCAGCACCCCACACTCGGGCTCTCATTCCAGGCTTTCCACCTCCCATCAGGGTGCTCCCTCAGCACAGCCTGGGGGGTAGCAGGGAAACCCTGGCCATGGCCGGTCCCTCCGAGCTCTACGCCAAGCTGCTGCTGCTGAAGCACAGGGCTCAGCAGGTGAGGCGGTGGGGAGAGCGGGGCTGGAAGGGGCTGCAGCCCAGCTGGGTGGGAGCAGGGCTGGGCAAAGCCTGATAGCCCCAGGGTGGGATGTCTCCTGAGATCACTGCTGAGCTGCTGGGCTGGGCTGGGAGGGCTCGCAGAAACCACGGGCACCAAGGGGAGTGGCACCAGAAGCAAGGAAGGGTGGATCCTGCCAGCTTGTCTCAGGTTGGCGCGATGTCCAACTTGAGATGGACGTCGTCCTTGGCTCGGTGGGGTTGTCCCGCTCCTCAGCCCGTCCCTGGGTGGGTGTTGACCCTGGCTTTGTGATGTCCCCTGCCTTTCCCATCAGCCCCCCGCTTCCCTGCTGCGTTTTTTCCCAGGTGGGGACGCTCTTTGAGGCCTCCTCTGTGGGTCTCGTGCGGAGTGTGAGGTTATGGTCTTGGGGGGAGCCCATACGCCTCAGGGGTACCACGGATGGGTACCTGCCCGCTGCTCACTGCCTGAAGGAGGGCCTGGGGTGCCTCCCTCGCTCGTGAGCGACACCCGGGACAGCCACCCCGTTTCTGTGGCACTCTGGTGTCCATCCCATCCATCCTTCCTCTCTTCTCAGGACCACGATTTCTTAGAGGAGGAGCAGTTCTTCCTGGAGACCCTGAAGAAAGCGTCCTACACCACCTCATCTCTGTCAGACTGAGGAGGTGGCCTCCGCGCGTGCTCCCCGGGGACGGCTGTGTCCGTCCTGGCAGGAGGCTGCTGGGCAACTCCGCGTGGGGACGGCGGGCAGGGAAACAAACAATAAACACTCCTCGTTCTCAGGTGAAACTGCGTTCTCTTTGAAAACGGTCCCTGAGGAGCATGAAACCTCTCCCCGGGGGCCGTGCAGCCGCAGTCTGTCTGTCTGTCAGTCTGTCCGTCCCGAGGCTGGGCAAGGCGCCGACGTTCCCCAGCGCCAGCTTTTCCTTTCCCGCCCTTTTTCTGAAGGAACTTTGCTGTTGTGCTGGGCTTCGCCTCCCCTCCCGTCCCTGCTGTCCCGGGGTGACGGCGGGGCCGCTCCGCTCCCCGCAGCGGGCTCTGCGCTGGGGACAGAGGGGCGACGGCGGAGATGG